TGTCCCAACACAAGCCCAGGCTCACTCACCCTCTGCTCTGGGCCCCTTCTGGGCCCCTCAGCTCAGGAAGGAAATCATTCCCTTGGTAAGGGTCCAGAGAAGGTCACTGAGTGCCAGGAGCTGCTGGGGCCGTGTGAGGAGCTTTGAGCTGGGCCTGCCCAGCCTGGCCCAGAGAGAAACTGGGGAGGATCCCCTCACACTCACCACACCTTTTAAATATCAGACCCACAGAGCTTCAACCACAGCTCAGGTGGGGCAGGTCTAGAAAAAACTGAGGGATTTTCCCTGCCACAGCCTTTGGATCCTTTCAGCAACGACACAAATGACACTAATGGTAATTAAATTTTCCTTGGACTGAAGTAATGGCTGTGAAAGCTCTTGGGAGAGAAACACATGGAGGATGAAATCATGGAATTATGGAAGTTCCTGGGCTGGGTGAGACCCTCAGGGATTGCTGAGTCCAACAATCCCACCCTGGGCATCCCTGGCAGCGCTGTCCAAACTGTCCTGCAGCTCTGGCAGCCTCGGGGCCATGCCCATTCCCTGGGGAGCCTGGGCAGTGCCAGGTTGGAGGAAATGGGATTTACAGCTTCCTTCCTCCTGTTGGATAAGTCAGACCAGTCAAGGAGAGTACTGCTGCAGGGTAACAGGGTCTTTTCAGACCTTTCCTCTTCCCTAACATTGGCAAAACAACTAAAATAAAACCATCCAAACCAGAAAGCTTGAAGAAATTTCAGCAATTTTTATTGATTTCAGCTTTTCCAATGAAGCAAATACATACAGTACAGCCAAAACAAAACTCTGAGACATTTTTCTCACATACCTATATCTTACAGAATACACTGTAGAGCTATGGACTGGTAAGGCTGAGTTGGTCTCACACTGGTGTGTGTTCAGAAAGGAATGAAACTGCCTTCAACTTGTCCATGAGGCTTCTGAAATGCTGGGGTGGGATTGTACACACAAAATAAACAAAGCATTTGTAAGAAAATAGACCAAGTAAGTTCTGCTGCGCCCAGGACAATGTGGGTGGTGTTTATTTACATGGCTGGGTGTCCAACTGCTCCTGCTGGCCACACTCCTTCCTCCTCAGGAATTCTCCATCCCTGTGCCACAGACCTGCCCTGTCCCTGTCCTGGGTGTCTGCCCTACACTGGCTCTTAAAGGGGTAAGGAACAGGAAACCAGCTCATTAGAGAGGAAGGCACAGTTAAAATCATGCCTTAAAAAAAAATACCTCCCCAGAATGAAAACAATTATATTGAACGTGAAAACAGCATTAATTTATGTTGGGGAGAACCTCACTAAGCTCCCAGAATAGCTGGTTATGAGCAACACCAGTTACTCCAATGTCTGAATTTCCCTTCACTTCTCAGAGCTGGGCATCGAAGTCACTTCACTGACTTGGGTGGAGTCTGGTGACCAGATTTTAAAGAGAGACTGGGAGGAAAATAGAGGGTATCAGAGAATTTCCCAGGGAAGATTCAGCTGCAGAACAGCCCTGGAATGGCAGAATGGTTGTGATTTCTGCAGCCCATGGCTCTCCTGAGTAGGCTCTGCCCTGAGGTTTGCAAGCAGTGACAAACAGCATCCTAAAAACAGCTCAGTGGGAGGAACCTCTCTGGTGTGCCCAGCTCAGGGCATGGACAACATCCCAGCTGGGCGAGGTTGCTCAGGGCTGTGCCCAGTCACGTTTGGAAGAGCTTTGAGGATGGAGACTGATTTTATTTTTAGCATTTTGTTAGCTTTATAAAAAACCTGTAATAAAAACAACTGTAAAAATGTTTTTTTGTCATAAAATTTATATGAATGATGAATCTGTCTCCTGGAGTCCAATACTCACTAATAAAATCTCCAGCACCTGTAAATTTAATTGTGAACGGATGATCATCATGCTACAGCTCTTTGTGCCTTGTACAGTGACTCAGTAACTGCATTAGGGGAGAAAGCAGCTGCACTGTTTTAAAATAAAGCCTAAATCACAGCCAATTAGAGTGAATTTCCTCAATATCCTATAATTCCATTTTGTAGTTCTGTTTCCCTAATTAGTTTTCCAGAGAAAAACATTTGCTCCCAGGACTTGTGTTGGACATGTCATTACAGATCAAACCTGAATGCGAAATTGCACCGAACACTTTACACCCAAACTGAACCAACCCCGTGGAAGCTGCAGCCCTTGGGGACATCCACAGATGGGTCTTGCTCAATGCATTTCCAACATTTTGCATCTGGGAATCCACATGCAGCAAGGGAACTGCTGGAAGGGCTTTGCCCACAGACTGGGGCTCTTTGCTCTGTTTGAACCCTCCTGGAACACTTGTGTCCTACTGCATTCTCCTGGTTCTGCCTCTCCACTACAAAGGGGCTTTTTAGCCTTTCTCATGTGGCTGCAGCTCAGCACAGAAAGCTCCTGACTGAACATGGGCAAAGAGTGGCTGGCTGCTCAGTAAAGTGCACAAGATGAAGCCACCCTTTGTAGCCCAAGAGGAAAAAGAGCTGGAAATGACCTCTCCCTGTGGAGCTCCCTGTGCTCCAAAGGGGGACCAGCAAGGGCCACCTGGAACTGCAGCAGAACAAACCCAAACTTCACAGGGGGTTCTTTAGTGGGTACAGATCACCCCATGGATGTGAACTGAATATCCTGTGTCCCACCAATTTATGAGCCTGACACTTAAATTGAGACTGTTTTTCCATCTCCAGGCTCATAATCCAGCTTCCCCAACACCTTCTAAATCCCTGATGTTTGAAAAACAGGGCCCTGTGTCTCTGCACCCTTTGAGGAATAATAACCAGCACAGGCAGCAAAGACAGCCTCAGCTGCTCCTTCCCTGTGAGTCTGAGCTGTGTCCCCTCCATGGGAAGGATATTTTTTCTTCTGGAGAGAGGAAGGTTGTGAGAATTGAGTTGCTCTGAAATAAGCTCAGCAGTCCCTCATCACAGCCTCAGCATCACAGGGAGATTAATGCAATTCAAGATCCCGAGAAATAAAACATTTCCAAACCTGACATCACACATGTGCTCACATTCCTTTGCACATTAGTACCAGTTCTTTACATTGATCAATAAAAACAAAGCATGATTAAAGAGGCCACATCTCTCCCTTCTTTCATTCCTGTGGCAGTCAATGATTCCAGGGGGAAAACACTTGGCCTGCTCAGCTTCTCAAATGCCACCTTTGTCCAGGTACAGTCTGGAACTGGAATTGCTCTGGTGCTCAGAATGGATCAGGAGCTGGGAATGTTCAAGCTCTGCAGCTGTGTCCCAACTGTCCTCTCACAAACAGCTTCAGGGAAGGGTGATGGAAGCCTGGGAGAGAATCTGCAGGTGTCAATTTGCTTCTTGAGATAAAGAGTTCATGTGACAGGAAAGAAAATGTTAACAATTATCAGAGAAAAATCCTAAGCAGAGAAGAAGCCCTTGTTCATAACTGTTAGGAATAACCAGCCTTGGAAAGAAGAGCATCCTTGTGTGTATCTGTTAATAATGGACAGATGCAAAGGGGGAACTTGACCTAAAATTGACTTTTTTTGTGCTTGTAGATAAAAACACATTGTGACAATTTTTTTGCATGGCAGTATTTGCTGCATGGATAGAGTGGAGTTGGAATAAAATCCTGCAAGGGGTTAAACTGCACAATCACCCTGACTTCGGGTGGAAAACAGGGGACTAAGCTGGAGGAAGATCCTGCTCCCCACGTGTGCTCTGTGTGCTGCCTGCACACACCTCTACATCACACCCAGAGTTACACAGACACACTCTTGGCAAAAAAATAATTATTGACATTGAGAAAGTATATAAAAGTCCCTTCTCCCCCCTAAAAAGAAGAAAATGCTTAAAAATATCAGTGTCATCCACATGAAATCCAAATGTTTGGTTTGCTTTACAGTTGAGTTGAACTCAGAAACTCTCTACATCTTTAACATCCTCAGGAATCATGAAGTGTTGTTCTTCCTGGACATAAACCAACTCCAAATTCTGAAATGGAAAAAAAATAAAACAAAGAAAAAGCAAAACCCCAGATAATTAAAACATTGAAGAGATCTCCTCATTACAGCAAACCCAACTTTTTATCTTTTCTCTGAGTCTGCTGCAGTTTCTCAGCTGCCCATAGCTTTTCACCCTGGACTTCCACCCTCCACAGAGTCCCAGTGAAAACATCCCAACAAAGCAGCAAGTGAAATCCATCCCTGGGCAGAGGGAAGGAAGGGGCTTTGGCACTGTTTCCTCTTGGCTTGATCACAAGGACCATGCTGGGGAAGGGAGCAAGTAATTCCCTCTGCATAATCTCGGACACTATCCAAAAGACCTCTGGGATTTTCAAAGTGCTTAAAGCTTTTCCCTTCAGTGGGAATCATGAGTGAAAAGTGCCTGATGGGTTAAATCCTCATTTCACACTGAATATAAACCTATAATGATGCACTGGAAATTCTGCCCATGGTTTCTCTTCCCTGGATTCTCTGTTGGGATTTTCAGTTGACAGAATGTGGTTCTTAATTCTGACCTGAGGCTGACAGATTAAGGGCTCAAACAATTCCTAAGGCTAATGGCTGAAGCCATGGATGTGCTGGAATTCACTGCACATTACTGGCACTGTCTGGATAACACTGCTCAGAATTCAGGAATGAGGGAGTGCCAGGGAGAATCCCAGGAAGAGCCTCACTTGTGAGGCTTTGGAAAAATGCACTGAATCAGTGATCGCTTGGCAAAGGAAGGGAGAGGCACAGTCGAGCCCAGCAGCTTTGTCTGTCCTGTGACATCTGTGCTGAGCATCTCCAAAATGAACAGCTGGACAGTGGGGGTAACATCTGCCCTGGGCCCAGGGACAGCACAGCTGCTGACCTCTCATAGAAACAGACTGGGCTGGGAAGATTTGGGATGAAAATCTCACAAACATACTTCTGGGATGATCAAAAGTAGCAACAATCTCAAAAGATTCCTGTGCCCCAAATCCACCACAAGGACCATGTTCTCACCTGCAATCTGAATGTGCATGGAGAGGTTCTAAAATCTTGAGGAGAGGGTCCTGAAGGTTGTTCCAGCTAAAGATCCCATCATGTTCTTGTCAAACCCTTGCTAAAAAAGCAGAAACGTGAAGTGCAGTGAGTGCATATCAATTTCTACACTGAGAGCAGTTATTGAGCAAAGTGTGCTTCATCCTCAGCCAACCTCCTCTGTCAGCCCTCTGATGAACTCCATAGAATCACAGAACCATGGGATGGTTTGGGTTAAAGGGACCTTAAAGCTCATCTTAAAGCTCATTCCACCCCGTGCCATGGGCAGGGACACTTTCCTCTAGACCAAGTTGCTTTTCCTTGCACTGCCTTCCATCAGCCCAGAACTGGACCCCTCCAGGTTTTTGGAGGAAACTTACTGTATCATTCACTGAGTATTGTTTCATTTAGTTCCTCATCCTGAAAAAAGAGCAGAAGTCTTTGCATGGTGCATGCACCCCTGCAGATTCCCATCTTCCTCCCCTGACAGGTACCTATGCAATAAACCTGTGTGTGAACACAGAATGACTCAGTCACACCAAAATGAGCTGGCATGGCCTGTGAGCAGTGCCTGGCACAAAACTACCCCAGCTCCTGTGAAGAAAGCCCCCACTGTCAATACAGGAACAGACTTCAGATGCTCTGCTTTTGCTTCCAGGTGCTCCCCTTTGTAGGAATTCCTCATTCTCTTTAATTTGGCCCTGTACTCTCTGTAGGTGCTGATGCTGTTGAGTTGGAAAAACTCAGCTTGTTCAAAGAAAGCCACTGGGAGCAGGAGCTGGGAACTGGGAGCAGCTGGAGCTGCAGTTGGGAGCTGGGAACTGGGAGCAGCTGGAGTTGGGGGCTGGAAGCTGGAGCTGGCTCAGGGCTGGTTTGGCTCTGCACTTTCCCAGCTTCTGTCACAGGGAGTAAAATCCCAAATACTCCTCTTCTCTTGGTTTGAAAGCTTACCCTGACTGCAGGGGGATGTAACCACAGGGCAGGCCTATGGACACAGAAGAAAATGGGAAGAAAGAGAGGAGGGACCTTGCCAGGCACCTGCTGGGACCCAAAGGACTGCAGTGAAGGTAATCCCCTAAATGAGGGTGAAACACCCAGCGTGTCTCAGCCCAGAGTGAGGGGGCTGTGCTGGGGAGCATCCCAGCACCCTCCCCAGGGAGGAAGGTGTCTGACATGGGCATGTCACCATCTGCTTTGTCCCCAGAGTGAGTCCCAGCAGTGACCCCCCTGCCACCTGCTCAGATCCCAGGCAGGTGCCCGAGTGCCCCAGGCTCCTCCTGGGCCCTGCCCTACTTGCTGCCAGATCAGGGCCTTTACCAGCTCCCCACTTCAGCAGGTGAACAACCCAGGGCTGGTGCTGACTCCCCGAAGCAGGAGTGCTGTCCTTACCTGCTTGAGCACACTCTGGAGCTCCCTGTTAGACCAAAGGTCTGTCAGGAGAAGTCGAGCAGCTTCAGCTGCTTTTGGACAGGAGCTGGGAAGATGAAACCAACAGGAGGATTATGGCAGGCACAGAGCAACACCCCACAGACACTGCTGACTACTGGGAAAAACCCAGCTGCAGCTGGGAGCCTGGCTAGCCATGAACACGACTGTCACTAACACCCTCCTGCTCTCTCAGCAACGTGTGACAACTGCCACCAGAGCAGGGCAAATGAAAGAGAGGGGAGGATCTGAGTGGGAAAATGAGCATAAAACTGAGCTGACTCTGAAACTTGAGAGAGAAAGAGAATGGAAATAGTGCCAACCCTTTACTGGAGTCTGCAGGGACAGCCTGGGTGGATCTCCTGGGAGGGGGCAGAGTAGCAGGCTTGGAGAGGACAAGGGATGGGAACCTTTGCAATAACAACATCTGCAAGCAGCCCAGAGCCCTTACTCAGCACAAGGGAACAAACACCTCCTCACGTAACCGCTCGAAACCGTGAGTCATCGCAGGACCTTTTATAATTTTGGAACATTTCATACCCAGATATCCCCTCCCTGCTGGCTCTCGTTGCTGCTCCTGATCTCCTGGGCCTCCTTCTGCCTGTGGGAGACTCCTGCTCTGGGATCAGCAGCCCCAGCCTGTCCCACCCAGGATGATGGGGAGGAGCAGGACCAAGCTCAGGACACTCCCTATCTGATACAGCTCCACAAAACCTTGTTACATCAAAAACAGTCCTCAAAACATTCCTCAAAATAGTCCCCCAAAGCCTACAAGAAACAGGACCAATAGATATGAGGAATCTGGGACATCAACTCCACACCTGAAGTGTGGGAAGACAGGGCTGGAACCATGTCCAGTAAATTTTGAGGTATTTCTCTGACATACAAAGCAGCTGTTACCAAAGAAATGATCGAGTGTAACTTGGTCATAAACTTCAAAGGTGTTGTGCAGCTCTAGTGTTGTGTGGAGGGCTGGAGGACAGCCAGAAATTCCTGGGTAATGCTTTGGGACAGAAAAAACAGGTTTTATTGCCAATCTCTTCTGTAGTTATAAGTACACTATGCTCTGTCACCAGAATGATAATGTTTTAAAACATTTTTTGCCTGAAATGTTGTCTATGGGTGAAAAGCCATTAAATCCCTACAAACCCAAGGGTAGCTGTGATCAGACAGGCAGAGCATGAACTGAACTATCTCATTCAAGGATTTGTAGTTTCAAGTTTGTTTCTCTCTTCCTAAGCCAGAACAATTTTCTCTTATTTTTGAAAAAAATTACTTCTAATGATGCTAAATATCTACTTTTCACCACTATGTCTCCAGAGAACACCTCAGAATTTTTGTATTTTCAAGCCAAAATTACCAGCATCAGTACCTGAGTCATTCATTAATTCAGGCAGAAGTTGTTCTGAACTCTTCATTTGAAGAACTGGCATTGACTGTTTCTTACAGCATTGACTGCTATAATTTAGGTATAAAAAGCTCAATATGAATTGGTGGAGCTGTGATGCCAGCTTCAGTAGGTAAAGCAATATATCTCAAACAAAATAGTGTGAATATAATAGTGGGTAACATGGAGCAGAATATCAAGGACAGCTGATCTGGGTGGAAAATCCCCTAATTGCTTGAAAATGAAAGTTGATTTTAAGTAGTGTCTGCCTTTTACAAATAGAATTATTAATGAAAAATCGTGAAAAGGCAATGAGGGAGATGTCCCCTGGTGGCAGTGGCAGGAGTCATCAAAAAAAAATACAGTCTCAACAAAACATAAACAAGACACTACCAGAAGGAGATGGTGGGGAAGGGGGAGAAACAGAATGGGGGCAAAAAAGACAATAATCTTGTCCACAGATATCAAATAATGGGGAGAAATAAACCTTCCTCAAAAGACAACAGTACAAAGAACTTTAGGTGTGTCACTGAGAATGCCAAGGAATTCCCAGAACAAGGATTTCTTCAGGACCTGAAGAGATTATAAAACTGATATCAAGGTGCAATCTTTGGCACAAATGGGAAATTGGAAATGTGTGGATGAGAAGAACTCTCTGGCACAGGGAATAATCAAGGGAAGATCTGAATTTCTCAGAAGATTAATTTTGGTGAAATGCTGTGGTGCAACTGAACTGCAAAATAAAACTGTAATAGCAGAAGTGTGAAAAGAGAAGGAACAAGGAGAAACAGAAACAAATCCACGGTAAAGAGGTGAACTACAAATGAGATGTTCTAAAACACAAGGAGAGATTTTGGGAAAAGCTTTGAGTACAGCCAGTAGAATAAATGAGGAGAATTTAAATTTAATTAGTGAAATAATGTTGCTCGAAAATGAGCAGAGAAATGTTTTTCAGACAGCTGGTGAAGAAAAATGAAAAGGAAACCAAACACTCTAATAAATCAGGTCCAGTGGTTTGATTTTCAGAAACACCACCAAAAATTGAAGGAAATATTCAATATTTTGGCAACTTGGATTAAAAATAATGAAGCGTGAAGGAACCCCATTTGATCATGAACCCCATGTCATAGAAGAGAGCATCTGCAGGAAGCACAGACAATTACTTAATTGGGATGCTCCAGGAAGAAGAAACCACATCCATCAGATAAACTGCTGAACCCTTTCTGCCTTTCAGTCAGAACCCAGCTGTGAGAAACAATAGGAGGAGAAGGAAACATGGGAAGGGAGGAGAACATGGGAAAGGGCAAGATCCATAAGTCACTGGTCTGGAACCTGGAGTCTCTTTCTAAGCTATGACTCTGAAGTTGTCTGAGCAGTTGGAGCTCCTGGTTTGCAGCTGGTAATGCAGTGAGAGCCCAGCTCAGAAACACAGGGCAGGATCTGGGTGGCAGAGGAGACACAGGGAGGGAGCACCAGACACCAGCCCCAGCCTGGGGGTCAGGGAACGTCCACGGGGACCTGAGGCAGATTAACAGAGAAAACTGCAAAATCCTGACAGGGTGCAGGGTGTCCCTGGGGCCTCCCTGGTGACTGGGGCACCCCTGAGGCCCCTGTCCCCCCTCTCTCTGCTGCCTTTGGTGCTGGAAATGAGGAGGTTGATGACATGGGACTCACCATATTCAGAACCACAGTGGGGACCTGGGGGCTTCAGCCAGTCCCCAGGAGAGGTGGAGATTTATTGATTTCCAGTGGGGAGGGGGAGGCTCTTTCTGATGTAGGACTGGACAAATCCCACCCTAATTTTTTTTATCTTCACAGGCAACATGTGACACTGGGAAAATGTTACCTTGGGGCCCAGCAAGAGTTGGAAGTCCCTCCAATATCTGCTCTACTGGAACAGCCTGAAATAATACAGCTTCGACAAGTAAAATTAGTCCAGGATGGAAATTGTTCTTTTTCTTTTTCTGTAAGAATTGAATAGCATAAAAATCTTTGGGGACAAAAACGAATAGCAGAGACAAAGGAACAACTCAAGTTTTGGACATTGTAAGAACTGGGGAGTTTCTTGGGAGGATTTTGTGATCTGGGCAGGACTGGAGACATCTCCAGAGTTTGCTAAGTCCTCACAGTTCAGTGAGTCACCTCCAAGAAAGCTCATCCCCAGCAGCAATTAAAGTGTTCCCTGTGCGGATTGTGCAAGGCTGTGCTGGAGCAGCAAATTACTGAGCACTGGTTTGAGGGAGCCACAGTGGGACCTCAGCACGAGTAAATACCATTCACAACAACGAGGGCTTAGAAGAGGGCTGGGTTTCATGGTAATTGGTCTTGTTGGAGTGCGGAGGCAAGTAAAAGCAGCAAATAGAGCAATGCTCCTTGGCCCAGGCCCAAACTAAACCAGGAGGCTCCGTGTAATGACAGAGAGCGTCTCTGGCATGGAACAAGAGGAGGATTGGAATAACTTTATCAAAGGATGATGAAGGCATGCAAATGGATTTTCACAACAGAAAACAATGGGTTACTTGTCTAAGGCATTTTAAAACAAAGACAGATGGCAGGAGAGATGAAAGCCTAGGAAGGAGAAAACATGGTCAAAGATAATGGAAGTTTAACACCAGTTTGGCCAGAAATGAACACAGAACTTGGCAAGGTTTGACAGGTTTGTGCTGCAGGGAATATGGATAACAAACAGGACAGAATTCCTACCACCAAACCCCAAACCAAGTCCTAAAATAGAAAGAGGTAAAATATGATGAGACTGCTCAGCTGGTGTAAAATACAGGAGTAGACCGGGGAGGTACTTAAAATAATTCCTGTCTGTGTTTCCCCAGAGCTGCATCTTAAGGAAGATGATTCAGCTAAAAGATGAACAGATCTGCACACAAAAATTAAGCACAATCCTTGTGTACCTGCAGTGTTGAACCTCAGACCTGACCTTCATGACAAGGTCTGAGGGAAGCCCAGGAGCCAGGAAGTCACTGACATCCCCTGTTCTGAGGTCTGGAATTTTTCATAGATCAGAGAACTCTAGAGTGGTTTGAGTTGGAAGGGATCTGAAAGATCCAGTCCCACCCCCTGCCATGGCAGGGATACCTTCCACTAGCCCAGGTTGCTCCATGCACCATCCAATCTGGCCATGGACACTTCCAGGGATGGAGCAGCCACAGCTTCTCTGGACAACCTGTGTCAGGACCTCCCCACTGCCATGGGGAAGAATTTATTCTTAATATCCACTATAAATGTCTCTTCTTGTAGTTTGAACCATTCCTGCTTGTCCTGTCACTATCTGCTTGCGCAAAAAGTCACTTCTCTTTTTCATAAGCTCTGTAAGTACTATTTTTAAAAGCTTTAAGTTGTTGGTGCTTCAGTTCTTTTTAGTATTTCCTAAAATTCAATCAGAAAGTTTCCAGAGGCCCCTTTGCAAATCCACCCTGGGTGGCTCCTGCCACTTTCCAAGAAACCAGTGCTGAGGATTTCTGCTCACCAACATACCCAGTTCCTTTATTAGGAAGGAATAATGCTCTAATCTGTCTCCGAAGGGTGCTGGGAAGGCTTTGGGGTCAGTCTGGCTCTGTCCCTGCCTTGTGCCCCACACTCACCCATTCCGGCACAGGCTCACTACATTATTTAACAAGTTGCTGGACAGGTAAGACTTTCCCAAGTGGGGGTTGGACATGATGAGGTTCCTCAGAGTGTAACAAGCTGATGTCATGATCTCCCCATAGCTGCTGGTGTTTCCAGACTGGAACGACAGGAGACGGGACACATCTGGGAGCACCTGGTGAGCTAAAGAGGTGAAGGAATGTTCCAATCAACAATTAAAAACAATCTGGCACAAGTGAATTATGCTATTTGTGTCAACACCAAGCAGAGTAATCTCTGCAGGGAAGCACAGGAAGTGTTGGACAGCAAATGGCATCATCGTCATCAGTGGATTTTCCCAAGACAAAACAAGGGCTGCAGGTCTTTGGAAGGGCAGTGTTGTTGGCCATGGACACTGAAGTCCAACTCAGTTCCCAAAACACTATCACCCTTGTGGTCCTGCAGGTTTGGCACTGTCCATAAAGCACAGCACATGTCCCACAGCACTGGTGACTGTCCCTGGGGCCAGAGGAAATGACACTGCTCTGCCCAGTTCTGGAGCACGGCTGTGTCTCCTTATGGGGCTTACAAAGCAAGTTGGGCAGATCCCGCAGAGCTGAAAGCTGGGATCCAGCACAGGGGAAGGACTTACCCATGGTTTTGTGGAGCACAGGATGCCTGGACATGTTGCTCAGCAGAGAGGCCCCGGAGCGGACAACCTCAGAGCTGTTGGACTGGAGCAGGCGAGCGATGCGGGGCAGCCCCTTCTCCTTCAGCCCAATCAACTGGCTCATGGCATTGGACATCTGAGGGACAACAGAGGTGTCCATGACTTACAGTGCCAGGGGAAATAGCTGGTATGATGGTCAGGGCTGGAGGAATGTGACTACCATAACATGAGCACTGTACAATCCTTTCTTCTGCTGCCATAATCCCACTTACTCCGTCAGTTTTACTCTCTTCCCCACAGTTATGGGAGCCTGGAGGAGGCTCTGGGGGGACCTTCTGGTTCTCCTCAACTTCCCTGACAGGAAGATGCCCAGCAGGGGGTTGGGCTCTGCTCCCATAGAACAAGGGACAGGACAAGGGGAAATGATCTCAAGCTGCCTCAGGGGAGGTTTAGATTGGATACTGGGGAAAATTCTTCACCAAAGCAGTTGCCAAGCAGTGGCACAGCTGTCCAGGGCAGTGGTGGAGTCACCATCCCTGGGAATGTTCAAAAAGTACACGGATGGGGCATGTGGGGACATGGGTTAGTGGTGAACATGGGTGAAGGGCTGGACTTAGTGATAATAGAGGGCTTTTCCAAACTTAATGGTTCCATTATTGTGGGACATTTGAAAAGTCAGTCTCTCAGGTGCTGTTCTGCAGCTGGTTCTGCTGTTCTCTGGAGCCCTGGTGGAGCAGTTGATCACTTAACTGACATTCCAAAGGCTGGAGAAGTTTTGCTTTCATATCCACATTGCCCTTGCCCTTCACAAACCCCTGGCAGCTCCCTGCCCTGGCCCTTCACAGCTCCCTGCCATGCCACAGTGGGCTGCTGGGGAGCAGGAAAAGATAATGAATGCTTTTAAAAAACAGTCTGAGGACCAAAAATACTCAGATGTGATCTTGTGCTTGTAAATGTAGAAGATCTCAAGATGCAGCAAGGCCAGATGAGTTCAACCACATCTGCTGAGTGAACTGCCCTTATTGACAGAGCTTAAACTGAACTTCTTAGCTACCCCACCAGAAAAGCTGCTGGAGATACTTGTCCATCAACAATAATATGGGAATGGAGAGAAAGGTCTGGAAAACGTGCCCTGTTCCACATTCACACCAGCAGGACTGGGGTGTGTATAGTGCAGTTGAAGGATATTCAGAGACACCTTCTGTGAACTAAAGGATCACAGCAAGCTCCGTAAGATCATCCCCAGATTCACTTTCCATCAAATGACAGCTCCAGCTCCAGCTCTGAGCTGGAATGAGACCCTTGAGGGGAGGAGCCACTTCTGCACATCCAGACAAATTTCAGCCATTCCATTCCAGGAGGCTGAATTAAGTTGCTCCAGCACTGTCAGAGCTGGGTTTGGTTGTTTGTTCCTCGTGTAATGCTGTTGATTGCTGAAATTTTCTTTTCCCTGGAACAGAACTCCATTTCCCTAACCAGCTCTACCCATATGTGACAGCCTTTCTCCACCTTCCGGTTCGTGGCACTGCTTAGTTAAATTGCCAAAAGTCAAAGTTCCCAATTATTTAGCATGGAAATCGTTGTGACAAAAGGAGATCAGAGCTGGCAGGTTAATGCCATCCCAGCAGGGAAGGCTCCAAGTGAGTCACCTGTGTCTCTGGGTGGGACACTCCCCACACGTGACACGCCTCTCCTACCTATGGAATCATTATCTCTTTATCTCCTCATCCATCTTATTTAAATTGGGATTGATGGAGTTGGGCACAAACAGACAAGTCAAGGGCTGTCCCAGGGGAGGCAGCCTGCGAGGACGTGCCCAGGGTAGTGACGTGGGCCTGCAGAGCCGCGGTTGTGACGCGTCCCTCACGGTGCCACAGCATCACCCAGCCCCTGGCACTGCCACGCTGCTGTGCCCACGGGTCAGGACATCTGTCACAGCTATTTTACAGGTAGCTCTGAGGTGTGGACAAGCCACAATCCACAGCACAACCCACCCTGTCATTAGGGCCACCTCCCCTTGGAGCGCACGCACGGGCGGTGGCTCAGAGCCCTTCTCCCATCTCTCATCACACCTGGCTAAGGGTGCACATCTGGGCTCACCCTCACTGCTGCTCTGGGGGAGGGTGCCAATACCAGCAGCTGCTGGCAGTGTGACCAACAGACTGGGGAAACTTGGAAACCCAGTGTATGGGTCTGGGATAGATCTTTGGGATGCTGGTTGTAGCTCCCTGAGTTTGGAGTTAGTATCCCACTGGATCAAACACTATGGAAAGACTAGCTGTGGTGCCCTGAGGTTTAAGGAGGACATTTTCCTTTTTTCATGGCTGAGGAGTGATGATGATCAGTGACCTTAGAGGTCTTCCCAACCTTACTGACTCTCTGATTCCATGGAAGTGCTGACACATTTGGGTGTAAGCATGTGGAGGAGAGGGAAGCTCTTACCAGCCCTCGGCTCGCAGTGAGGTTCTGCAGAGCTCCAGCACAAGCTTCCAGGGTGGCATCCTTCTTGCTCTGATCCATCAGGGACAGGTAGGTGCGGATGGCATCTGAGTGGTAGAGCCAGCTAGGGCCTTTGGGTTTGAAATCCTCCTCGGGAAGGGGAACCCCATACTCATCATTCTGCAAAGACATGAGAAACAGGAAGTTCAGATCCTGCTCTTCCTTTGCAGCCCCTGCTTGGGACTGAACACCACATTCCCAATCCCTCTGTGGCACATCCTACCTCCATTTTCCCACTCCTGCTGTTGAAGCAGCCTGTGAGAGTTTTGTCCATGTAAACGCTCCGGGCCATGTGGTTGAGCTGGGTGTATTTGTTGGGAACTTCAGCATCCAGGCGGTAGGAGAGGTTGTGCAGGATGCAGATGCAGTTCTCCACAGACTGCAGCACCCCCAGAAGACAAATGCAAACATCACATTAGGCAGAAAACTATGGAGCAGCACCAGAGAGGACATGGGCTTGGTCATAATCAAATTTTTAGCACCACAGATCCTCTTTAGCCTGGTTCAGGGAGCTGGGATGAGGATGGGAGGGAAGGAGCTGGAATAGATGTGAAGGAAGGATCTGAGTGAGCTGCTGATCCAAAAAACCTTGGGAGGTCTCACTTGCCACAAGACAAGCTGGCAAACAGGAGAAAAAAGTGTGAGAGTGGTTGGATCAAACCACGAAATTCCAAATCTTGAAGTGTCCCTCTCGCCAGAAGTAACTTCCAATGACTCTGAGTCACAGTTACAGATCAGGTGACACTTTTTACCAAGAACAGACTTTAAGCCTCTTTTCCCTGGATACCAGAGTGCCCAATGGGAAGAGCAAGGGAGAATTTTGGCTGGATACCCATAAACAACACCAGAACCTGTAGTTACATTTCCAAAGAGCTGTGGTTTTGTGGAGCTTCCTGCAAAAGCCATTCCCAAAAGAGGGCTTGCTCAATCCAGAGAGAATTCAAAGCAACTTTGGTAACTTTGAGGGTTACATCCAAAAGGTGTCTAAGGTGTCTAAAAACACTTTTTTGTCCAAGGCAAGTGCTGTTCACACACAGCCATCAGTCACAGACAGGGGAGTGCAGAGAGATGCCAGCTCCTGGTTTCCTGCTGAACATGGTGCCAAATTGGGGATTATACACTTGAGTCCTCCTGGATGGCAAAATGTGGGGGGTAAAGAGCAAGAGATGGAGATTAGGATGCTGGAAGGGGAAAAGGAAGGGAAGTTCAGGGAAGGGAAGTTCAGGGAAGGGAAAGGAAGTTCAGGGAAGTTCAGGGAAGGGAAGTTCAGGGAAGGTCAGGGAAGTTCAGGGAAGCTCAGGGAAGTTCAGGGAAGTTCAGGGAAGTTCAGGGAAGGGAAGTTCAGGGAAGGGAAGGGAAGTTCAGGGAAGGGAAGTTCAGGGAAGGGAAGGGAAGT